GCAGGCCTGGGCTGGATTTGAACCCGCCACCTTAGGTGTATGTGGCTGGTGCCTTAGCCACTTGAGCCACAGGTGCCGAGCCTCTTCCCTCTTTTTCTCCTCCCACCCTAGGAAAAAGTCTCAGCACTGGGATGAAATGAATATCCTGTCTACATATCACCCTGCTGACAAGGACTATGGATTTATGAAGGTGGATGAGCCCAGCACTCCCTATCACAGGTGCTGAGCCCTCAGGCCTAACCCTTTAGCCCAGACCCTTCTCTATTTAAACGGGGAGACAAGAGGAGGAGTTGGAGAAGCCCTAGAGGGTGGATACTGCCTGATGTCCCCTCCTCTGCTTCCCCTTCCTCTGCAGGATGGAGGACAGTTTCGAGGACCTCACTTCTGAGTCCTCACGCTCAGTGACTCCTGAAGCACTGGCAAAGAGGTGAGGGTCCTGCCAGAGAATATTGAGGCGTTGGGGCCTCTTCCTTCACCCCTGAACTCAGATCTGAGACAGCTATGCTTTTTGGCACCCAAAATGAGAAATACAGAGTTTCTATCAGGCATGACCAAAACTGACCTGGAGGTCAGCTGCCTTGGCCCCATCTACCACCTGCCCCCATTGTTGTTCTCTCCCTTTGGTGTCTCCAACTAGTCTCCCTCCCCTTCAGGTTTGCAACAATGGATAATACCTGTCCCAAGGCTATCCAGTTGGGTGATAACAGAAGCTCAGAGTCTCCAAACAATGCTCCCCAAAAAAGTGAGATGAGGATTGGGGAATGAATGGAAAGGGGAGGTAGAATGGACCTTCAGTGAGAGCCTGGTGGGAAAGCCAAGCTCTCACAATGGTCCACAGACTCCAGTGACTTTAATAAGCGCCGCAAGGCACACTACAGTGAAGGAAAGTTCCTCAAGGCTCAGAAAAACCTGTCCTTGGATGCTGATGAGGACAGCAAGGCGGGTAGTGTCAGTATCAGCAGTGGCAGTCAAGGTGTGAGGCTGGACTCAGACCCCAGGCCTGTGCAAAGAAGCTGGGCTGGAAAACTGGCTAAAGATGTCAAAGATGAGACTGTACTGGTGACCAGGAGCCACATCGTTCAAGTGAAGGGTTAGCTATGGTGGGGTACAGGGAATCAAGGGAATGGTGGTCTAGAGGTCTGTACTATAGTCTGTCTTCTTCTGTGGGCATCAGCCCAAAGTCTTGCTGCCTGACAGAGAAGTAATGCTGGGAGGGACAGTTAGAGTAGAGTCCTTACTCAAGATAGTCCCTAGAGTTGGTTGGCTGGTGAGAAACAGAAAGCTCAAGAGACACATGGGGGATGGAGTGGTCAGTGAAGGTTTTCTCAGGTGGGTGGCATGAGAACAGTAAATGAGATAAGTATTTGGGACTTGAGTTTCTCCCTTATGGTAAGGGTCCACAAAGGACACCTAGAAGGTATGGATATACTACATGGACACAAGACTCAGATTAATTCTATGGTTCCTCAGATTCCTCTATCTGGAGAAATCAGTCCCCTTTGGCTTTGCCTATCATCATGTTGGAGCAGAATCTGCAGCGCAAGGAGTATTATAGCAAAGGAAGATATCTGAGGTCCTGTTCCCACCCAGAGCTTGAGGAGGACTCAGAAGATGAACATCAGGACAGTGAGAGCCATGGTGGGCCAGCCTAGGGGGCAGGGGAGCTGAGAGCAGACAGGCTGATGGGTGCCCCAGTCCTGATCCCATGATGCTTCCAGGATGCAGGACAGTTTTGACCCAATGATTAAGAAGCCCATAAGCACTGAGGTCCACCTGGGCCTCATGGGAAGCCCCGTTAGGGATACAAGGCCACCAAGAGTTCTCTGACAGTGACACCATAGCAGCCTAGTGAGGATACCAGGCCACCATCTTCCTAGGGCCTGGCTGTTGACAAGCTCTTATATCCTGACACCTCTCCTCCCCATTCTTTCAGGCCAGCACATGAACAACAGGCGGTAAGACAGGCTCAAAACATTCCCAGAGTCCAAGGCCCACACTGTATGGGAGAGGAACCAGGCAGGCTCAGAAGGAGTTAGGACCCCCTCCAGCTTGGCACCACCCACTGGTTCCATGACTCCTCCTTGACTCCTCTCTACCATTCCACGTACTCCAGGTACTTCCCTGTCTTCTAAAGACAGTGAGTCTCAAGGGATAGCTACTTGGGGCTAGTGGCTGAGCTGGCAAAACTCAGAAAGTTCAGAGAGGGAAGCGACCAAAAACCTGAAGGCCAGATGAGTGAGGATGTGAGCCTAGGCAGAAGCAAGGGTGTACTCGCATTGGCCATAGAGGCTGAGTAGGGAGGTCCTAGGGAATCTGGGGCTCACATGGGCAAATCTCATGCCTGATGCAAAAGAGCCACTAACCCAAACTCTTCTCTCTCTAGATGAAACTCTGCAGCTTCAATGGACTCAGGAAGAAGAAACTAAATAATGAGAAATGTAGCCAGCTAGGGGTGGGGTGGTGGCCCCCCTCCCTACCTTCACCACCTTAGGGGTGGACAATAAAGAGAGGAAGAGCAGGAGTCTGGAGGCTGTGAATTGGGTGCCCAGGATGGGCATGCTCAATCTTTGGGGGCATGGGGGGTAGGGTGAGGGGCAATTCACATACAGGAAACCATGAAGGCACAGTAGAGAGAAAAAAGCTGGGAGTAGTCCTGGGTATCAGACTTGACAAGAACATAAGAGTGTGAGCTGCAACAGAATGACAATGACTAATGCAATTAATTTAGTGAACCATAAATTTACATCTTTAATTCTTACAGCCTCAGATGTAGGGCTTATGGTTTTTCAGATGAGAAAACTAGGAACCAGGGACCTTGCCCAGGGCCACACTACCTCTAAGTGAAACAGTTAGGATTTGAACCCTATCTGCCAAGCCCCCAAAATTCAACCACTAAAGGAGAAGAAGCAGAGAGAGACTAGGGCCCCCAGAGGAAGGTGACAGCAGATAGTCTTTGAGGGCAGGGCTGTGGCTTCTCTGATCTTAGGCTCCTCTTCTCTGCCTAGGCCCCGCCCCTGCCCCTCCCAGTGCTGCCTGGAAGTGTGGGGTGAGAGCTCCTCCTAGAACCCCCTGAGCCTTGAGGAAAGAATTGTGCTCCCAGGACCTACACAGCAGAGATCCGTCTCCTCCTTCCCTGTCAACACCCCTCCAGGGGATAGCGCCTCCATTCATACCCCAATTGGCCTCACCAGTGATCAAGCTGAGATGACCGTCAAACTGGACTTTGAGGAGTGTCTCAAGGACTCACCCCGTTTCCGGTAAGTGTGTTGGGCTGGGAGGCTGAGTAGAGGAAGGTCTAATGTTATCCCAATACCCACACATGCACACACACAACATTCCCCAGGCCAGATCTTCCAGGGAGTAGGCCTCAAAGGGCCTCAAAGAACAAGCTTATGGCCCAAAGTGGCATGTCTGCTATCAAAGCATGGTGCTCCAGTGCTCTCCCTCCACTGCATGCACCTCTTGGCTTCTCTAGCTTCTCCCTTCCCCAAGAGCTGGCATTCCCTCTTGCTTCTCACTGGGACCCCTGCCCCTCCCCCTGCACCTGCTGGGGCGGTTAGCAACTTCCTGCCCTCACCACATCCACCCTCCTTCTACCCTTCCTGCTCTGGGACTGGCTGTACTAGCTCCCAGAGTGTGCAAAGTGAGCAGAGTGAGGGAGAGCAGGGGAGAGGGGCTTCTCAACCCAGCAGCTTCCTCTGTCTGTACCCACCACCCCATGACTCCAATCCTACCCTGATGCGGCAGGCAGACAGATGAACCCTAGGTCTGTACTTGTGACCCCATCCCTTCTTTCCCAGAGCCTCTATTGAGCTGGTGGAAGCTGAAGTGTCAGAATTGGAGACTCGTCTGGAAAAGGTGACCCTAACATGGAAAGGTGACCCAGGAGCAGATTAGGATGAGGGGGTTGGAGCCAGGGAGAAAGTTGGAAACAGAATGAATTCCAGGGATTATTGAATGCTAACTGTGTAGAGTAGATATTTTTGTGATTGTTGAGTATCAAAAAAGCTGGTTGGGGCTTGGTGCCCACAGTACAATGGTTACAGCGCCAGCCACATGTACCAAGGCTGGTGGGTTGGAACCTAGCCCGAGACAGCTGAACAACAATGACAACTACAACAACAAAAAAAATATCTGGACGTTGTGGTGGGCACCTGTAGTCCCAGCTACTTGGAGAGCTGAGGCAAGAGAATTGCTTAAGCCCAAGAGTTTGAGGTTGTTGTGAGCTGTGATGCATGGCATTCTACTAAGGGCAACACGATGAGACTCTGTCTCAAAAAAAAAAAAAAAAAAAGCTGATTGATTCTTTGCCCTGAAGGAGCTCAGGATCTTAGAAAAACAAGACTTACTTGTGGTCTTTCTTGTTTAGCTCCTGAGCCCCTAGATTGTGCTAGGCCCTGGGCATTCAGAGAAAGCAAAATAATTTCTGTCCCCAAGGAGCCCAGAGACTATGGAAGACAAACCGGTAAAATGTTTAAACACAAGACAGTAAAACAACACGTGCACACAACTACACACACATATACTCTGCTTACTCTGCTTTATTTTTCTTTATAATATTTACCTCTATCTGACATGTTACATATTTACTTGCTATATTAGTTTTCTGTTGCTGTGTAACAGAGTATCAAAACTTGAGTGGCTTAAAACAATACACTTTATCCTTGTTTCCGCTCACACTCAAGGGGTAGGGATTATATAAGGATGCATACAATTGGGGGTCACCTTTGTATGTGTTTCTTACACTTGCCTATTTGTTTCTTTTATTTTTTATTATTTTTTCTGTTTATTTCTTGTATATTTTTCCTCATTAGAATGTTGGTGGAGCTAGGTGCAATGGCTCACACCTGTAATCCTAGCACTCTGGGAGGCCAAGAAGGGTGGATTGCCTGAGCTCAGGGGTTTAAGACCAGCCAGAGCCCTAGCAAGACCCCATCTCTAAAAAATAGCTGGACATTGGCTCGGCGCCTGTGGCTCAAGTGGCTAAGGCGCCACCATGTACACCCAAGGTGGCGGGTTCGAATCCAGCCCAGGCCCGCCAAACAACAATGACGGCTGCAACCAAAAAATAGCCGGGCGTTGTGGCGGGCGCCT